AGACAGCAATGATCATGCATTAGTCCGAATGTTTAAAAATATATGTTGCCACCTTTTCCACTCCTACAGTTTGTAAGAATTACTATGCTGATGTGAAAGTTTCACTATAAGTTAATCTTATTTATATAGTGTAGGCCTAAGCATTATAAATAAAAGCCCATACAAATGGCTTAATACAAGCGATCTTTCTAACTTCAGAGAGATGAAACACAAATCTATTCCAGACTCAGACCCCTGCCAGTGCCATTGGGGACCTTGACAACTGCCCCAGCACCCAGTTCTGCTTTCTTCAGCGGTCTTGTCTAAATTTCCCAGGAAGTACCAAGTTTAGGTTATACAGTTAAGTGTTGTTTGTGGTTCTAGTTAATGACAATGTTGGTGATGATGCAATGGACAACAATTTTTAACATCGGTTTTAGGTAAAAATAAACTCTGGATAATTTTAAGGTTAGTTTAAAGTTGATGAGCTAATTGTAGATGCAATCAGTTATTTAAGGGTGACATTCAAATACGAGTACAGTAGAACCCCCATAGACATTTCTGAAACAAAATATGTGTCTCCTTAATATGTTTTCCTCTGAATGGTGGTTGGCTATATAATATAGATAATACTTTCCTTTATTTCATGGCTGAGAAAAGAGTCCCCTTAACAGGGATATCCTGTAATAAAGACGTGTCCCAAAGAGAAGTCCCTTCAATTAAAGAACACCCTTTGGACTGGGGTTGCCATAGTCTTTAGCAACTTTGGTCTCTAATTTAAAATAATAAAGATAATAACAAATATTTAATGTGGGACTACAGTACAGTTAGAGGAAGACATGTATGATGTATGGGTCAGCATGAAGATGTCTACAAACCCAGGAAAGGCATTAACTGATTAAAAACGTGTGAGCTCTTAAGCGGGTGATCATCATACTAGGAGTGTGCTAATTTGAGAATGTTTGTTCGAATTAACAACCCCTCCAATTAGAGACAACCTCCAATTATAGATCGTCTTTCTGCAGTCTCAAATGAATGTCTATCTTTAATCTATTTCTAATTAAAGACCAAAGCTGCTAAAGACAATAAAAACCCTGGTCAAAAAAAAAAAAAAGTGTTTAATTGGAGGGGACACCTGTATTACCAAGTTATCACTATTTAACTTTTTAAAATATTTAATGCACTCAACGTCTTGATTGATTTTCATACAATATCACTGAATATATGTGATCACAGAAGTAATTGACCTATAGCTTACACTAAATTATATGCAGTTTTATTTATCTAAGTTAGGGTGTTTTTTATGAAACTGAAACTGATGAACATTTTTGTATTTTCTACTTTCAATTTTGCATAATTTGAATATCTGTCCAAGATTTTTGGTGGATTTTCTCTGGAAAATTTTCTCTTGGCAAGGCAGAAACATGACTAGCAGTGATTGAGCCTCAGCAGGTTGTCAGCGATCCAATATCACTTAATTTGCTAGCTTAGCCTGTAAACCATCTTGGCCTGTAAAGTTAGCAAGAAGAATCCCTGTAAATAAATAGACGCTTGGGGAGAAGGCATACTTGACTATGCTTTGAAAGTTGACAAAAATGCACCCCCATCTGAAATTCTCTGTGGTGCTCTAATTCTAACATGGTTGTGATACTGTGGGTTTGGAATGGCTTGTACCAAGTACTAAGTCATGGTTATTGCCTCATGTTTCAACTATTAAAGCTAGGCTCCGGAGGAAAAACAAATTTGATATACTGTATTGTACAACTGATTTTTTAAAGACACAAAGCGTATTTGACGAAACACTCAGTTAATGAGATACAGATTTTTAAATATTTAAAACTGTGGGAAAAAAGGTGGAAAATTGGTATATACACCCCTTTTTCAGTATTAAGTAGTCTGTATCCCCTCCCCCCTCGGAATTGCTTCCAGGTTTTTTTGTCAAATACAGGTCTCCCTTATTAAAGACCATTTTAGTGACCTGAGTTTTCATCTCTAATTAGAATAATAAACATAAAAGACATGTGTTAATTTGGGACCAAAAGTGGTCATTAATTGGAGGTGGTCTTTAATTGGAGGGGTCTTTATAATTAGAGAGAAACTTTTGTTGTGTCTTGGAAAATTAGTTGTACAACATCAAAAAATCTTTTTCCTCCAGGGCCTGGTTTAAAAATTTCCTTTAGTTAATGTATTTTAATGAATATAAATAGGCCTAGTATTTTTTTGTCATTACGGTAGTTTTGTTTAATAATAGGAAGGTGCAATGAAAACACAATATTCAGGTGTTTCTGGGTGTACTGTATGTGTGTTTTTTTTTTTTTGTTTTTTTTTATAGCATATTATTATTATATTATACTATGGCCTACTGTAGATTTTGTTATCGTCTAATCTGGTTTTTAAACATTTTTCCCGTATTTTTGTCTTTGTTGTGTTTTGTAAGTGCATTGAGACAAATTTAATACATTCCATTAAAGCGTACAATTATTGACCAATGTTGCCATGGTTATTCTATGGCATTGGCATTGTTGTATGACATTGACAATGACAAAAATCTTATTTAAGCATTCTAGTTTTCTTTGTACAATAGGGGTAATGCATTCTAATTGAAGAATATCATGCAGTCTTATACTGTAAGACCAATAAATAAAATATCCACCAGTCTGTTGTTAGGCCTAATAAAATTAATTGCTAATTCTCACCCTCACCAATTAATGGAGCCTCATAAAAAAATTACTCTTTATTATTTTTCAAAAAAACATTTATTTTGTCATGGAAAATGAAAATTTTCATGATCTGAAAGATTGTTGTCAAAGCTTTAAAAAGTGGTTGAAACAAATGACAGAATACATTACAGAGATTCATTTTTTCTTATTTTATTTAATTTTTGTATTATTTACCAGCTGTTTACCACTAGTATTAGTAATAGGAAAGCAAATAGTAAATACCCTCACCAAATATAATTTCAAACCTTGGACATGAAACTAAAAATTATTTTTATAAAAAATATGGAAAAGAGTAAAATTTAGAATGGATGTTTATGTTGCCTAACAGGTAGAAACTCATGATATTCGTGTACCTAGTTTGAGTCTACCTTTTTGTCTAAAGCTGCCTGTTACTGTAGCTGTGAGAATAGGATTTGTTTAATTTTCAAGCCTGGCAACATGTCCAGCTCACCATAAATTTCTCTTGATATCAAGGTCATGAACAAACTTGCTTGCAATCCCTAGAATTTCTTTGTCATGGTCACATGATATGCCACAACTTAATATTCATAAACTTGTTAAAATACCAATTATAAAAGTTGTCTATTTTAAACTTGGCAATTTTTTATTAATCCTTGACCCAAATTATAGTTAAATTATTCCATGTTAGATCACCTAATTGTAAAATCGCCCCCTAGTGGCCATCTCGGATTTTGATAAAACTTCACGTTTTCCTTTATACTAAAAGACGCAGACAATTTATAATAACTATGTTTATAAATTGATTGCCCCTGAAAATTCCCTCATTTTCATTTTTCATTTCATTTAATTATTTGACATCAAACGTTCCAGGGGTTGCGTCAGCAACAATGCACCATAACACGAATGTGTCCACAACCCCTGTACAGTACATACTGTACAACAGATTAGATATTTAAAATTCAGATATTTACAATTTCAATAAAATACAATTTAAAGACCAACAAATAAAAAGTCCAGTAAAATACTATGTAAACAAAATGCTTCAAACAAAAGTTTCAAATGATATTGCAAAGAATCAGTGAGTTGCAATTTATACAGACTTATAAAAATATAATATAAACAATTGAAAAGCGGTGGGTTTTATGAAAGTGAAATATTATTAAAATGATATTGCGCAGAATCAGTGAGTTGCAATTTATACAAACTTATAAAAATATAATATAAACAATTGAAATGCGATGGGTTTATGAAAGTGAAATATTATTAAAATGATATTGCGCAGAATCAGTGAGTTGCAATTTATACAAACTTATAAAAATATAAACAATTGAAAAGCGATGGGTTTATGGAAGTGAAATATTATTAAAATGATATTGCGCAGAATCAGTGAGTTGCAATTTATTGTATACAAAACTTATCTATTATCAAGGAGTTGTTTTCTGAACTTAAATAAAAATAATTTAAGAGGGTGAACAACAACATACAGTAATCTTTAATGAAAGGGGGAAGTGATGACCAAACAACAGGAAAATTATGGATTGCTGTATATTTTAAAGCATCAGTATGACCAAAAGGGATGGATAAACGTGGGTGATTTTAGTATGATGTGGGTTGACTTAAATGTTCAATTACTTTTTATGATGTTCATAACTTTTTGGTTCAAGTTGTGTTTATCTGCACCTACAAAATTGCTTCTGTGTTTGATTTTTGACTAGGCTTTTTAGATGTTGTTGAAAAAATCAGGAAACTTTACAAGTTCACTTGTAAAAGTAAAAGGATGTGATTATATTCAACAGGAAAATTTGATTTGTAATGTTTTTACCAACTATTTGAAACGTGGTATCTTATGATGTTTGCTATTGGGTTGGACTAGTAATGACATAGAGTAAAAGTTTTATTTGGATACCAACTTGTAACAATACATATGCCTGACAAAAAAGAACAGAGAACAAACATGACACTAAAGCCGGTTCTATTTGGGACACAACATGACGATGCGCGCTCAACGAAACGTTTTTAATGACGATCCGTTTAGATGCCAACCGACAATCTGCAGACGGCGTCTTCCAGCACTCACGGCGAATCCAACTCAGCGAGTGCCCGTCTTCAGGCCGAAAAACATTAAGCATAATTTGCAGAGAGTATCATTTCTAATTGACTTTGAATACAGTAAACATTTTCCATATCATAATGAACTTCCAACAAATTTGAGATGTTCCCATGGGGAAAAAAAGGTGATTTGGCAGCCCGGAATGAACGTAATTATGGATAATAATTCATATTTTATACCTTTTACACTTTGCATAGTGTATGCAATAATTGCTTTTTTTCTCTTTATAGGAGAGTGATACAAGCAGTCAACGAAGTTCAATAGGAGATACAAGTATAACATCACGCGACATGCTAAGTCCGCCTGATATCATATCCCGAACGCCAACATCGGAAAACCGCCTGACGAGGACGCCGGACACTATGATGTCTACAGGATTTTTGGGAAGTCACTCTCAACCACGAAGACAGTCAAAAAGTAGTTCATCAACGAGTTTGAACTCTGATAGTCTGGAACCCCAATATGCAAATCAGGAGGAGATCATCAACCTGACGCGGGAGGTGCGGCATTTCCAAGAAGCACTGGGTGCCATGCGTGGAATCTTTAACCAAGATGAAGGTAGAGTATCACTCTTAATTATTGTTATCAGGTGAATGTGTTTGGTGTCGCTGTTTTGAGGACTGGTCAGTCGGCCATTATGATACAGTAGATCTACTAGGATGTTTCAAGCGGGGTTTGAAAAATTGGTGCAACCTCTTTAAGGATATAGTACATAGTGCTTAACAGACTTTTCTACCATACCTCGTTGCTTTCTAGGGCAATTAAACAGTTCAACTTACGTCTTCTACAATAGTTTATTCATGAATTATTTTGTATTCATGACCTGGCCTGCCTTACTGCAGGTCTGCGAATATAATGGATGTTTAAATGCTAAATACGCCAAGATTTGGTTTTAAGAATCATTATGCAATTGCCTTTTGGTTCCTCCCTCGGTGGATTAAAGCAAACAAACTTCGTCAATCAGACATCCTGTGCCCACATTTCTATCTTCTAAGAGTATGATGAATGATGAAATTTATGAGTGAATGTTTTAAAAGGATTATGTAGCATGCACTCTCTATTTAGCCTAAGGGAAATTCAGTTCCACTATTTACTGTCTCCGCTTGCACCAGCTACTTTGCCCGTTGTTGGATTTTTTGTGTTTGCTTATGAGTACAGTATGATTCGGAGAAACAGCAGTAATGAGACCCTCAACTTCAGACTGTTACGGACAGTGGCATATCTAGGGGTGGGGGACCCCCAAAAAAGTATCACTCCCTTCCAGCCACCCTCCCCATTGAAAATGTTGAAAGAAAAAAGTTAAAAAGTTTTTAAAATCGTATCATCTTATTTTGCGAGTTACCCCCTGAACTTTATCATCAAGCCGATCCCACTTGAACTTGATATTCCCATCACCCTCTCCCCTCCCCTCCCCCTCCCCGATTTCAAGACTCCTAGATACACCAATGTGAAAGGGCACATAATTCACCTTGCCCGCTGGCTAAATTTGTGGGGGTGAGGGCTATATTTAGGAGATTGGATACAACAAAATACCTTCATGGAAGTATTCCCATAAATGAATGCCTTAATTTTTATGTTGTCATTCTCCATAGGATATAAATAATACCCAAATATTTATATAGCGCCAATTCCAAATTGAATGATCAAAGGCGCTGAGCATTATAATACCATTGAACACTAGATAACTTAAAATGGCAAACCAGCACAAAGTGCAACCTTCTCTGCTCTCTGAGGAGTATACCTTGTCTGAGCGCTATTGTACTTGGTTAGTGCGCAAAACTTGTACATTCAACGCTACAGTACAACATCCTACCAGGTACCCACTTATATTCCCGGATAGAGAGAGACAAACGTAGAACAAGTCTTTATAGTCATGTTAATCACTTGCGCCTATGTTACTGTAAGTAAGAGTGAGAAGGTTCTGCCTCCATCTTGGCCTGTCAGTTGTGTAGTTCCAAATGTTGATTGGCTAAAGACCAAGGATTTGTATCGTATTAGTATCCCTTGTGATTATTATTGGTCAAGCCTTCTCATTGTGGGGCATCCTAGTGGGTGAGTCCGTGTTGGCACAGTTTTAAATGCCTGATAGGATAGAAAACCTTTGCATATTTCATTACTGATAGTACAAAAATTAACATTAAATCTGATCTCAATCTGCGTGGGAGGATGTGTAGGATGATTGGAGATAGATTAAAGTGTATGAGGATATAAGTACTTGCTATCCCTACTTTAAGTATACCCTTCAAATTTAGACAGATAGTATAACAGTAGTGTATGCTTTTCTATTGATGATGATATTGTCTTATTATTTTTATATTTACTTTTATTCAAAAACTGAAGTGACTCAAGCCTTGTATCATGATAAAATATAAGTAAAACATTGTTTCTAATAATAATAAATTAGGTAAAATCGTTGAATGATTTATCTCTTATCCGGCTGTAAAACTTATAGAGATCTATAGATTATACACTAGATATAAATTCATCATTCATTCATTCATTTATTCATTCAATTAATTCATTAATTCATTCATTCATTCATTCATTCATTCTCATGCCAAACACCTCTATGGCACTTGTGAATATTGTCTAGTGGGTCTTGTGCCTTAAATTGCAGGGGGACGGTGCAGGGATGTTTGAATCCTCTTTGTTGTTTAATTTTAAAAAAATTTGTTTTGGTTTATCTTTGGTTAGTATATTTCTTGTTTTAGATTCTGATCAATTTTTTCAACAGTATAAAGCCCTCTGATCTTAAAGAAATTATTAACAAAAATCTGTAAAATTACTGAATAGTTTTGTAGGAAAAGTGTATGTTTGACAGTCAGTAAAAGGTTAATGATACAAAATACAACAGCAAAAAAATTAAAAACACAATTACAAATAAAAACAGAAATTGAGGAGATAATAAACAGCGATCTTACCCATATGTTTATTTCACGTTAATCCCAAATTTACTTAATTTATGATAATTGTTTTTACTGCATTAATGTCGTGACTTATGGTGCGTGCATTTTTCAGTGCAAACCTACTGTAATGATGTGAAAGTGGGTCAACCAGAACAAAGCTGTGGTTTAAAGCTAACTCCAGTTATCCTTACGCAATTAACGTAAAACAATTAACAAGGCTGGTAATACGCAGAGATTAATCAAATGATGCGTGTTGTGGCAAAATGGTTAAGTTGTCGCACAGGCCAGTATTGAGTAAATGAACTATAAAATATTGGGAACTAACAAAATGGCATACAAATCAAAATTTGTATTTCAATATCAGTTTAATGTCTAATTAATCTTGTTCTAAAGTCTTAGTTCTGAAAATAGTCTTTAAAAGGCATTTACTCAAAATCATGTATATTTTCCCAATAACTATCAGTAATGCTTGAAATGTCCAATTTCAATGAATAACCCTTCATAAAGATATCATATTCAGGTGTCTGAAAATACCAATAACTTGAATTTCAATTTTTGCCACAACATGCCTAAAATAGTATTAAACTTGAGTACAATACATAGCTGCTAAGTTGGGAAGTTTTGCTCCTACCCCACTTCAGCCCCACCATTGCCACTGTCAGTGGTTGAGGTTAAAAATGTTTATTCATAGCACTTCTAAAGTGCAGATATCGGAAAATGACACTTTCTCCAGACTTAGAAAAGGTGTCTCAATTTGAAAATTGAATGTCTAAATTTTGAACATAAATTTTTAAAAATTGAGCCACCACTTGAAGATTTTGTGTGTACTTTAATTAGTACTGTAGGTCAACATCATCAGGGGAGCTGCAATAATTAAATAATAATTGACACTTCAAGATGAAAAGTTGAATGTAAATTCAAGAAGACTTTTAAAGATTACAATGTGAATTTAAATTTGGAATAAAGTATAAGATTTCGCAATAAACTTGAGATTATAGGGTCTGGCATGAGAGCTTGAGATGGGGCGTGCTGAAAGGCAAAGTGTGAATCTCACGCCAGATTATATGATAATATTGTTAGGCCAAACATAACCAAACAACTGGACCGACCAGTACAGGGCCGGGCACATGTTTTCCTACTAATTTTTTATAGACTTGATAATCCATGTTATAATACTCTGCCATCAGTAGTGTCATATACCTGTAACAGTCTCTTAGTTTTACACAAAATGTTTTTAAATTTTAACTTACGGTAGAGTATGTTGCCGGTGATAATAAGGAAAATGAGTGAGCAGCTTACAGCTGTTATAGCAAAAAGCTTCTGTATTGGCAGTGTGCACTGAACCATGAAGAAATCCTTGCATGATCTTTGACCCAGGCTCAATTCTACAGTACAGTATCACTAATTTCCTTGTTTTTCAGCTTGAGGACTAAAATACAAGTATCAACACTACCTTTCAGAAAAGATATATTAAGTTCCTTTATGCAATGTAGCTTGTGTACATCTAAAGAGAGTGCATAGTACACTCATTAGCTTAACCCGCCCTTGATAAACTAATGTTAGGTTATCTCACTATATTAATTGGATTAACACATTATCAAGGATAAGTACTGAGTGTTTAACACTGGTGTCCTTGGATTCAATTATAGGTAAACAGATTAGTTGCCTTTTTTATGAGGTTTTAATTGTTCTTTACCGCCGATAGTGCGGTATTCTAACGTTAGTTTATGGAGGGCTGGTCGGCCTAATGATTTGGAAATGGGTATGGGATTGCCTCTTTATGTACTGCCAAATTTACACCCACTAGAATTTAGCCGACTGAGTAAAGCTGCTCTCTACTGAGCTAAGCTGCTCTCTAAATATTTATTCTCGCCTTTCAATATGATATTAATAAAGTTTTTCTACTGTACAGTATGTCTAATTTTTTTTACAAATGTCTGATTTCATTTCACACTTGGCAAAATGAAAGATGGTAATATTAAAGTAGATGGACCCTATTGTTTTTGGTGCCTGTGTGAATGCTAATTGGCCATTTGCATAATCAATATTTCAATATACTTGAAATTTATGCTAAATACCCATCATAATTACCATAAAATATTTCTAATTTAGGTGAAACCAATGTTTTGTAAGTCTGATTGGTTTTAATTCTCAGAGAAAAATCACACCGTAATGAGGCTATATTTTACTGCGTAACTTAACAGGAGTATTTCTAGTTTTGATTTATTTCTCGTTTAAAGTTGATATTGGATTGGATTTATTTGGTGTAAACACCAAGGATAATCCACGAAAGTTTAGAAGGAGACTTATTTCCAGTGGGGTCCTTCTGGTGGTGATGGGCAGTACACCGGGAGACAATCCCCTACTCTTTTCTAAAGAATGTACTGCGTTCTTTAACATGCACACACGCCATAAATGCACACGGACCAACGGCTTAAATGTGTCATCTGAAAGACGGTGCACTATTGTAACTTGTATTTCAGCCCTCCAGCTGAAACACAATTGGAGAGGCAGCAAATGGAATTGAACCGGGGACCTATTACAGATATAGTTTAACCTCTCTAGATATAGTGGTTTCAGTTGCATGATTTTTGTTTTCTTTATTAAAGATCATAATATTATCTACTGCAACTTTTCAATTCCAATTCAAATCAAATCACTAGAAATTTACTTTATCATACTACCATACACAATACAAGACATAGATGAGGACCCATCTAAATGTTACTGTAAACTTGTCTTAGTTGGCCCTTTGATATAATTACAAAAGAACATAATTAAAGAAGTATCAGTGGTTTGAAACTTTCAATATGTAAATAATTTTTATTAAGAAAACACATGTGAAGATATGATATGAAAAAATGACTGAATTGTATTTAACACTTTTTCCAGAAATTACAGAATCTATTCAGTCTAGAATTCAAGACCAGCTGAAAGATTTACTGTTCATTCTACGATCAACTTTAAATCGATATCCAGCATTGAGTACACAAGATATCCAAACGACATCACTCTATCTCGTCAAACAGGCAAAAGGTATGTGGACACAATTTATTCACACTAAACTATTTTTTTACACCATACTTACTGATGTGTTAGTCCATATGATGTGTATTTCTTTTCTTTAACCATATTTGTAGAGGGTAACCCAGAAGGTCGGCTAATATTCAGGGGCTCCTCTGTTCTGTAAATAACATAATACTTTTATTGGAGTTGTTTTCTGTTGTGAGAAAAAGTCCTACTGTCACCGGAATTGAACCCAGGACCCTGGGATTAGAAGGCAAGCATCTGAACCATTAAGCTATTCAACTCCATGCCAATTACAAAGCAATTGCAAAGCCAATAAATGCTGGAGTGTAGAGAACTGATTAAATTATCTGGTGGCCTTGACTCTCTGTAACTAAATCTTTTTAAGAAGCTTAGAAAAGTTGATTATGGTTTTTCTAATCAATGTTATTAAATTTTACATTCCACTGCATCGTATGCTAATTAGAACATTCAAATTCCGATTACTTGCATAAAATTAGCATAATCCCCTTGAACGCCTGATTGCCTAATGTTTTCCACATTAGGTGAATTTATTCGCGCGAATCGAAAGCCTCGGTTCATACAAATGCGCATTCACATTTCTATCGGGTTTTTGCGAAGCGAAAAATTGCGCAACCAATAAGAGTTCTGAAAGTGTACCGAGGATTTGATTCGCGTGAATAAATTCGCCTAGGGGAAAGCAGGCTTTACCCAAAGAATACCCTTTTCAATCAAATGGCAAATTTCAGCCAATTTTTATTTTTTGTTAGAATAATCATAAAGGGCAGTTCCAGCTTTAAAGTGTGCCGTTGTGTTGATGCGCCATGACCATCTTTACAGATGGATACCTGCGCACAACAAATTTTCGGTAAATTATTATTATTACTCATATAAATCATAACCTGGGTCTTTGCCTGAAGAAAGGCTTGTATGTAAAATTGGACATAAATTAGGAGGTCAGCTTTATACTCGAGGAACAATGGCTGTGTTCCGATGATCACTCCTATCCGATGCAAGTTAATGAGAAATCCAGTCAAGGTCGCATCAAATTTTATTGTATGTCTACACGAGAGTTAGAGCAGATAGTTGTAGCGCTTATACACTGATATAAACATTAAAATTATTTCTATTGATCTCATGATGATGTTTCAATAAACAAAAATGACAAAACAGAAATTACATTACTGCCTGGGCTAGGCAGTAGGCCATCCCAACTATCAACACATAAAAGGCAAAATATGTTTAACATCCAATGTTTTCATCTTCACTTGGTAGAGCATTCCAAAAAAAGCAAAATAAAACTTTCCGAGTTTTTTTTTTTCACCTACCCTAAGCCTACCTAATAACATTTACGAGATTTTCGGCAGCATTTTATAACCGGAGCCTCCAAATGTAGTATGCGAGTACGAACGTTGTTCGTAGTTCTTCTTGCTAGAATGTGTGAATTGCAGTGGCTAAAGATAAGGTTACCGTATTAGCTGTAATTTCAGAATCATGTACGTACAGTATCACACTGGCGTTCACCGTATCTCATTCAGCCGTATCTTTAGACACAGCAAACGAACTACCACGGTATTTTGCAGATTTCCCAAAAAAAGACATGAAAATTTATATGAAGTTTACAACGAACGATAATAATATAAATTTGTCCTGTAATGTTTTATTTGGATTAATTTTGACAATTATCACGTTAAAAACAACTCAAAAAGGTAATTTTAAAGATGCTTTGGTTGATATTATGAACCAACTAGGTGACCCTGTTCATACGGTCAGTGTCGGCCTCATAACAAGCGCTTGTTTGATAACTACGATATCACCGTTGTAACTTAAACTGTCGGAACAAGGCTTATGGATAAGAAAGCAATCCTAATATGAACAGACTTTAACCCTGGATCCATGCTTTACACCTGTTGTCAGGGTGATCAATGTTTCCTCGAAATCTAGCAAAAGTATTTCTCTGGTGTCTTTCAACCTATTTATAAAATTGGGTCGCATTCAACTGGAAGATCAGTGCATACCAACATCATGCTGGGATATAGTTTTTGTCATTCATCACCTATGGAGAGGGATAACAAAATAGACACATGCAAAGAACCTACTAAAAAAAAAGGAATGTAGATGAGAGAAAGAGAGAGGAGGACTATAAAATAGATACAATACTGTAACTAAATCCGTACAGAGAAGAAAAATAATTTTTGATTGTCCAAAGTCAAAGTAAAATTTAATCATCCATAAAAAATTTAATTGTTCATTTATAACATTAAAATTGTTTAAAATATATAAAAGGTAATGAAACAACAAACAAAAATATGGAAAAAAAAATTACAAATTTGAAGAAAAAAAAAAACAGCACCAGTACAAAACCATTATAGAAAAAGAAACAACAAAGTTAAAATACAAGTAAAATTTAACCATCAAATGTTACTTCATAATAATATAAAAACACCAATTAAAAATTTCAAAGGAATTTAGTCGATCAATTTGTGAGAATGTATTTAAATCCTGCAAAACAACTAAGTAGATTCGAAATTTCAGCCAATTACTGTAAAATGGAAATTATAAGAATTGGGAATTTCAGATTATCTATCTATCACCTGCATGGAACTGTCTAATACCATCAGGAGTAAAAGGGTGAGGGGGATAATGTCCATCTGAAATAGCAGATCCAGGAAATTGAAATAGAGGGGGCCCAGGGAAGCACTTTTACAGATGGAGGGTCTACACCATGTTTGAGGCAAAGGTTACAAAATTTATGATAAATTCACCTCTAGATGGCCGGAAATGGCACTTTCAGACCTGAAATTTGAATATAACTTTCTTTTTATCTCCATTTTTTTTTAACTTAAATATTTTTGTATTATATATTGTTGGTTAAAGTTTAGCGTTTTCCAAAAACCGAAAGGTCCACTGATTAATCTCAGATAAGTATGTATTATACTTTCTTAAAGTTTAGCGTATTTAAGAAGTTGAACATTATATTTGATCATTTTTTAACTTCAGGTTTGTACAATCACAGTGATGCAGATAAATCTAGATTTTTTAAGGCGGTTGATGAGCTTGCCTTATCATTCAGTACCAGGTATGTTTTAATTAATTAATTAATGAATTGTGTATATCCTAGTTTTCTGAATCTACCCGTTTTGGAATATTCCAGTCCTCTCACCCCTATGGTTTGGAATGAAATTTCTTTCAGTTTAATAGGCTTGGCTAGCTTTGAGTCATAGGCTATATGTCCATCTTGCCTATCTAAGCCTACAGGCTTACTTTTCTTTACATTTTTATGCCATTGACTATAAGCCCACCTTTTCAAAATCTGCCTAATTTCTTGTCCAAGTGGGTGAGTAAAAAAAAAAATTAGTTTTCGGTCACTAAAAGTTTTGACGCTACAGTGTTGGAAAATCAAAAAGTAGGGATAGATTGAGGATCATGCAAAAGAATACACAAAAGGTATTATTTAACTGACCATATAGGATTAAATACAAAATTAAGTAATTCTAATATGGAATTCTGTTCTTAGCTCATGAAGGTCACTACATCTATAATATTACAAGCATCCACACATATTAATAAGAATTTGCAACCTGTGATTTTAAGATTCACTGGGTATTCATAATGCCAATGAAAATAATCTTCACAATAAAGAAATTCTGATATGTCTAGCAGAGAGAATAAATCAATATCATGTGTTTATGGTAGCGGAAAGCAATATGCTTAGAGGAAATCACACACTTTTTGTACAGTTACAATATTTCTATTCCAAAGGAGTTATTCAAAAGTCATGATATTGATAATGTAATGAGAGGTTACTATTGGATAAAATAGACGTGACCAAGTCACTGGCATCTCTACAATCACAAATCATTAGATATATAATCATTCGGAAATTATCAAATCAATATCAGTTTTATCAAAATATTAATAACTTTAAATTGTCTAAAAGAATAATTTTTAGTGGCCTTTAACTGAAAAGTCTTAACTAAGACTTTTAAAACATTAAATGTTTTTTTCACCTAAAAGTCGCAACTGAGTTACTACTTGAGCCGGTGTCGCCACCTTAACAGTGCACGGTAGTAAGCCAAGGCTTTTCCAAGGTGGAAGCTACAGGAACCCAGCAAACTGTCACCGGTATACCTGCGCATACACAGTTGTGGTGATGACGCCATCTCATCATCGGGAGTGCAGTTTACCTTCCCTTTCTTGTTCGCAATTTTTTTTTTTTTTTTTTTTTGCGCCAATTTTTATTTTCCAATCTGACTTTGGGTCTGTATACTCTCAGCGCCTTGAGATGATTTTATTGTGAAAAGCGCTCTAAAATATCCTACCATTACCATTATGAACAAAATATTGAAATAATTGTCTCCTTAGTGTGTCGGAATACTTGATGGGTGATGTCGAACAACCGTACAGTGGAAGTCCCATGCTCATTCCAACGGTAAGTATTTTAAAACATTTAATAAGGTTGTGTTGGGTGCTGGTAAATATTTTCTGGTCCAGGGCTGCACTGGGGTGTGAAAAAAACCATAGGGACATGGTGGGAAAGGGGTAGTCTACTGACTTCGCTGCTTCTGCTGCAAGGTTATTGTCCCACAATCATCACTATTGGATTTTAATTGTACTGTAGTAAAAGAAATAAAGGATGTGTATATTACAGTAGCAAAGATTATTAATAAAAATCATTAATAAAATCTTTACAAATCTGAATTGTTGATCGTACTTTAAAGATTAGTAATTCATTTTCCATTTTCATATTTTACTTTCATAATTTATTTACTTGTATCAGTGGCAATGTCAGTATGTTAAACTTACATTAAACCATAGAGCAACTTAATTTCATGTCACCTTGTAACCATGACAATAAAGTTATCTTATCTTATCTTTTGGAGCAGCTAATTAAGAAATGTAGAATAACCAAATGTGTTCAACACTTAATACTCTTCAAAATAACAATATGACAATTTATTAATTTTTTTTTTTGAGTATTATTTATTAAAACTTCACAAATACTTTGTGAGGTTATTACATCAACAGTAATGATAATTAATATCTGGCAACTACAGAGATCAGCTTAGCTCAGTCGCCTAAACTGGTGGTCGCCACTGTGCGTGCACTGAACCGTGGAGATTTCTTGGTCCCCGGTTCAATTCCCATCGCTGCTCTCTTTGTATTTCAGCTAGAGAGTTGAAATGCAAGTTACGATAGGGCACTGTCTTTTGGATGGGACGTTTAAGCTGTTAGTCCCACGTGCATGATAAATAACGCAGTATAGTCTTGGAAAAGAGTAGGGGATTGTCTCCCGTTGTACTGCCCAATCACCACCAGAAGGACCCCACTGGAAGTACCGTAAGTCCTCAGACTTTCCCGGGTTATCCTTGGTGTTTACACCAAATAAATCCAATCCAATCCACTGCCATCAAAGCTATTGAAACTTGAGAAATAATTATGAAATAATTCGATAAATTTCATAAAAAGGCCTACCTACTTTAATTACTGTAATTTAAAAGTATTCATTCAAGTAAAAATTTCAAGTATAATTTAATGAATATTAAGAATAGATGGTAGTATTAATGGCAACTGATACTAAAAGTATGTGCATATTAATCATATATTCCAAGAAAGAAAAAATATATATCAATTAAATAGAAATATCATCTCTTCGTAAATTATTCATTCAAGATTCACTAGCGTAGGATAATTTACATACAGTAAGTACAGTAATACAGCTCCTTTTATCATAATATACTCAGACATCATCGGAGAGATTGTAGCATCTATCTAGTTATCTATAGCTGATGAGAGGAAACGAGCAGTGTTGAAGCGGATAGCTTCAGTGACTACTTCTTGGCAAATTGCCAAGATTTGATGTCGCTAAAGTTTCATTTGATTAAAATGCTTTCAACCAATTAAAGCGGGAAAACTGGGAATAAAACTAAAAGTGGAAGGAAAAACAACAAAATTATGTATATAGACATGCAACATGCCAAATATGGTTGTGATGACATCACATCATGACCATATATAGGCACATGATGACTATATATGATAGTATGGTCACAGCTCTACTCATATACTTACTGCTCATGATACTGGGAATCATCTAAAACAGAAAAAAAAAAACAAAAACACAATTGGTTGACTTAATTAATGTAATCCATTCACAAGTATTTATTAATAAAAATTACACAGTGGAAACTAAATGTTTAAAGTTGCTCTTGAAATAAAGTAAATGTTTAAGATCGATTAGGTAAACATAAACTATAAAATAGTTTACATAAATGAGGTATGTTGTGGCGAAATGGTTACTGTATGTTGTCACACTGGCCAGTAATTAGTAAAATGATTTATTTATAATAATATATGGGAGCTCAAAATATTTCCTAAAAATCAAAATTTGTTTTTCACTATAAATCAACAGTTTGATGTCTTATAATGTTTATTAATCATGTTCCAAAGTATTTTTTTAAATTTATTAATATTTATTTATTTCTGTCTTTTGTGTGATGACACTTTCAGTGACGTGGATCACAAGTAAAAGAATAAAAGAAAACCAAAATGAAAAAATAAATTGAACTAAAAACAAAACTAATGAGTTAAAGAAAAACAATATGTAGATTAATATAAAAACTAGGGTATTTCCATAAAACTACTGCATCGAAAACAAAATTGCTTAAAACTAACAACAAAATTTAAAAGTAAAATGTTCAACTAATCGTTTATTTAACGTTATTTTCATAGTTAATTCTATTAAACAATGTATTCACAATTAACTTTAGAAGGCAATTACTCAAAATCAGGCTTATCTTGACTTGAGTGCAGTACTTTCACTTTTCAATAACTTGGGCTTGAAATGTCCAATTTCAACGGATGGCCCCTCATTTTAAAGATTATATACTCAGCTATACCAATAACTTGAATTTTCATTCTTGCTACAACTTAGCCATTTTGCCACAACATGCCTCAATAGTATTACAGGAAAGTTTTAATGAATTCAAAAAATGTGTTTCCTGATTTTTACACTAGATAATTATCATAAAAATAATACAAAACTTCCAGTGACTGAAGTGTTTCTATCATTTGTCGCTGTAAAATTGTGGGTAAACATTTTTTAAAAACACTAATTTTATATTCAAGTTGATAATTTTTAGGTTGCTTCAAGATTGGCAAGTTAATTACAAAAACAATTTCTATGATTTTTTTCTGGTATTTTGCATGTGGCAATAAATCTTTAAACATTATTAAACATTATTGTAAGAAATATACTTGTTTCAAGTGCTCAGACCCCTTTCATAAGATTTAAACGCAAAATTTTAATGTAGTTGTAATGGGCTTTTTGTAGTACCACTACTAATTTTCTACTGATTTATACATTTAATTTTAGGATATCAAATCAATTTTAAAAATATGTTTCTAATCACCTACTTGATTTGAGCCTACAGCTTTGTAATAATACGATGGGCACCGTATTTACCATGCCACAATGCCATTTGTTTGCACTATGGCCATCTTTTGCAAAATAATTAATGTCGTATCTCTAGTATCATACTATAGATTTGCATTATAATTAGTAATGTGGTATCACAGTAGACAGCAGATACGTACGATTAATTCGAACCTGCAACATATTAATTACACCATGGGCACCGCAGATAGTATACCATGCCACTGTGCCAATTGCTTGCACTATTGCCATCTTTTGCATTATAATTAGCAATGTGGTATATCTATAATCTAGTATTTAGACAGCAGGTGCGATGAGTTACACTATCTTATTACATAAAGCACTACCTTTTCCTTCAAATTTGATAATACAACCAATCCCGCTAGGATATTTATTGCTACTTGTATATTTAGCCGCAGTGCGCTAGAGGTAACGTAAAGTGTTTTATGGCATCTCCACCACTTAGTTTACCATTAAACATTGATAAACTTTTCCCAATCCACTTTATGTAATAAACATAATTGTACTTTATTCCGTCCCATAATCCTGCTGATATCTGTGTTACTGCACTGCTACAGTATACGACTGTTAAACAAAAGTTTTTTTTTTTTCAAGTATCAAGATTATTTAATACTACTTGAGCCATCAAGAGCAATTATCCGCAATCACAAATTCACAATCACATGATAACAATTAAATTAACAATTTAAAAAGAAACACCATTTTCTTGAAGAAAGAAAATATAGTAAACCTAAAAATAATTTAAGAGCTGCCTTAATGTCTAAAGGGGTGACATTAGCAGGATCATCAAGGGCCAGGTCGCAAGTGAGGGCAAATAGCAAGAAAGATGAATGAAGACGGGAGGTACGAGCAGGGAAAGGAAGAAAAGAAGAATGGCGAGAATGATGCAAAGAAGTAGAGCAGGAGTGATGTTGGGGGAGACAATTATGTAATGGGTGGTCTTGGTTCTGGACAATTTTTGAAATCTGGATTCATAGGGAATTATATTAAGTCTAGAGTGGATGAAAGTGTAGTCATTGGAAGAAGCAGATGGATCGAGAACTTTCGCAAATAGGTTTTCAATACATTTTTATTTATTATTATTACTATTATTGATATTATTTGCTGTTGCTACTGCTAAAGCTGCTATTGCTGCTGCTAGTTTTATTTATTATTATAAGGACGGATCCAGTCTGGTGAAAGAGGGTGAATGTGCACACTGAGTGATTGTCTTAAGGGAAAAAACCCTGGTGGTAGGGGTGCAATGAGAAAATCCCCTTTTAAAGGAGATTTGTTCATAGCACCTTCATTAATAAACCTCTAGCACCCTCATTAATTTGTTAATTTGTTGTACCCTCAACAATTATTTACAAAAAAGTAGAGGGGGGTGTACGCCCCTTATACCCCCTCATAATTCGGCCCTGTGATTAAGTGGTTGCAGTTTTAGCTTCTCAGCCTTGAAGTCGGGGGTCCAATCCCTCGCTGTGCATTTCTCTTCTTGTCTTTGAAAAAGGCAACTTACTTTACCTCTCTCCCTCCAGGAGTAAAAATGAGTACCTGGTAGGTTTGAACAAATACTGTAATGTGCAGATACTTTTTAGCTGAGTACACTTTTTTTCTTTTTTTTTTATAAGAACCAGTAAAATTTTGCCCAGGCTAAGTGTTCTTATTTTTTGGCCAATTTCAGGCTCAAGATGTTCTTATTTTGTTCTTATGTTACACACTTTCCAAACATACAAATGTATTATTGTACCAGTATACACTGTTGTACTGGAATGTAGGTAAAAGTGCCCCAGGAAAAACTGGCCCCGAAAATAAAGGCCACTAAAAAAAACGTCCCAAGAAAAACGGCCCCGGTAAAAATGGCCCCAAATGACAAGTAGGTATTTACACCTCCTGTACTGTATTATAGAGGGTATTACATAGTCACACCTACTGCACATAAGGTACAGATATATTTTTTGGTTTTTCTAGTTTGTTTAAAATAAAAATCTCATTGGACATTTTACCTCAGCCTCAATTTGTTCTTATTTTGTTTATAATTTTTAAGCAATTTCAGCCTCAATGTTCTTAAAAAATGTGTTCTTATAAAAAAAAAAAAAAAAAATTATGGTATGTTCCTTGTCTTTTATCTAATAATGACTGGGGGTAATTAAATGTGAAGCACTATGAGGCCTTGCTGGCTTTGAGCATTATATAATATCTAACATATTATTGTCATTCCTTTCTTGATATAATATTAATTGTCGTTGGATGAATAGAAGGTATGTAGGAGGTCTACCGTGTCCCTAATCTAGTAAGTGGCTTCGCAGTCAGTTAGCCTGTGGATGAATTACATTGGAAAACTGCCAAAGCTGGTGAAATAGAACGTCCCTATATAAAAACTAATTTAGCATATTCTGATGCTTACATTACTACCCAAAGTACAGTACCAGTATATTTTGACACTTAATTTAATCAAACTGTTTACTGCCTGACCGACATGAAACCATGTGATCGTATCAGAGTAAGCCAGGCTTTTACACTTGCCTTGCGGTACTTCATATATTTTCACAGTGCTATTAACTTGCTCTTTTAAAATCTAAATGAAATTTTAATAATGTTTTATATCAAATTTAGTAATGTATAATCAGCATTAACAATAACCTTTAAATACTGTAGATTCATACATTTTTTTTTTAGACCAGTACCTAAATTATGTGTGTTTATTTAAAGTATAAATAAAGCTTAATATTATAAACAGACCTGCATTATTAAATTACAGCTATAGTTTTACGCTTTCAACACTGCACACAAACATTACAATGTTTTTTTCATGTTTTAACCATCATGTTCTTTCCTGCCACGGTTAAATTTCCATTTGATTATTTTCCCAATTATCCACACTAATGTAAAGTATGGTAATCAGAAGATATTGAATTTATACATGGTCATATCCATGCGTGGATAATTTCGAATACGAGGTGATTGCATGGCATATTATAGAATGCTGTAAATTATGCTGGTATATCATGTTCAATGATAATGCTGAACTTTGGTGGTTCACGAGTTAACAATGAAAAGAAAAATTGGAAGAATATTGATGCAGACAATAACACAATATAAACTGTTGAACTGTCTACTATTGAAGTCAAAGCACTATATAACATTTTACAATATAACTATTGATACCATGCCTGGAAAGCAGTGTCTCCGACCATGAAAATGATCTTGATAAATTCCTCCAGCACTATCAAATGTTATCTTTACACTATTATAGACAAATAGCACATTCTGAGCCAGCAAAAAATTCTAAAGTTTCCTCTAGTAAATGCGTAATGCACCAAAGCACTATATAGCCCAATAGTAGTGGTCTGGTGTAGAAAATAACCCCCGATCCCCCTCGGAAAAATGCCTCCAACGTTATGCTTGATGTGTCCGACCGCCAGTTGCATGGTCGTGCATATTTTGCAGCCCTGTTTGATACCTTAATACAATAAGTACAGAGATACTGCCTTCCAAAGATGTGGAAAAATTTTAAAGGTCGCTGGCCTCCACCCAGAGTCCATTGGGAGTATCAATGAAACATAACAAGAGACCAATCAGAACAGGGCAGGAAGTATGTGCTAGTCCCACAAACAAAATGTGTTGCCCCACGACCATGTGTTGTATGTACTTGGCAAGCGGTGGGGCTTAGCGGAACAGGCCATTCAGCCGCAAATTTAACTCTACATCCTAAACAGGTACCCATATAAAACCCTGGGACAAAGTGTCTTGCCTTAGAACAGAAACAAAATTTTGAAGCAACCTCAAGGATGGAGCTGATAACCGCAACCAATTGTGCTACAGTAACCACTTATTATAATGGTGATATTGAAGCGCTTCAGTAATTCTTATAATTCAATCTTTTTCTTGCAGTCCTGTGTTAGTGTTCCAGGGCTGAATAACAACACTGAACCAAGTCTCGCATCTGATAGTCATCTTGATGTGACCGAAGGGCGTAGTAAGGAAGTTTTATTATTTTAATATTGATCGACTCTAATTGGTTGATTGATTGAATAAATGTTGATTATAAAACACCTGGCTGATAATAGTTATAATACTTAATAGTTGGTAGTTTTTATTTTAGTGATTTTGATATACTGTAATAATTTATGTGATTATTGATTGATAATTGAAGATGATAATCACGGGATGAAAATCAACACACACTATAGCTTTCAAAAATGTAGGATGAAAAAAAATTGGTAGAAGATTTCAATGGAATGCTGTCTGCCTATGTAGCACACCGGGTGGTTAAAGGGAAACGCTTGTACAGTACAAGAAAATCTGAGGTGCTATAAACATGTCAATGTCTTAAATCACCCCATTGACTGCCATGGGGTGGGAGGGGGTATTCATCTGCATCCTCGCCTTCCCCCAGCCTATGACCCTAGTACAAGCTCTGTTCTTTTTTGACTGCAAAAATTACCAAATATGAAAACTACGGTAATATATAGACTTAAAAAAATGGTGGCCCATGTCGTGTGTTCCCTCCTCCCCTCTTTACAATTTTAAGGATCTCACCTGGCGGGGACTGGTTTTACATGAGAGACCGCATCTGACATCCTTCTGGCACTGGTGGGATTTTGGCTACCTAGGCTTGGCAAATAACCAGTTCAGTTTCTGTTTATACCTAGGTATCACTTCACTTCTGCATAAGCATCTGGCAGGCTAGGTTGACTTTAGTTTTAATATCGATGTTATAGGCCAGAGTTGGCTGATTTAGTCAGTGAAGGTTTATCCACCATATGGCAGCTGATATCTAAATGATTCTCGGTGCCTTGTTCTTTTTATTTGACATAATGATATAGTGTATCACTATCCATATTGTAAGCAAATCTGTGGGATTAAAATGAAATTAATGTTTTTGATTTATTACGAGCATTGCCTACTCATAAATTATTATGCTGTTATCTAGTGGTATAGTGTTTCAAAAAGAACTTGCTGGTTTGGTTTGATATATATTACAGTCATAAGTTTTAGATTAGTCTATAATAAAAATATTTTATTTGTTTTAGTTTTTAAGTTCAATTTCCCTTTATTGTCCCATATATTGTTTATAGTACATGAAACTCTTTTTCCAAGGTTCAAACATAGAGTACTACAGTTTTACGTCACGATACCATGTGATACAGTACTACTCAGTTACTATCGGTGACACAGAATGCGTTCAACAAATGCCATTTTCTCTATTCACAAACCATTGATCCCAATTTCTAATGTAATTATTAAGAAGTTTTATCTTAATTTTTCTTTGTAAATGAATGATGATTAATTGAGTGTTCGATAACTAATATAATGCGAGCTTTTTGTGTTTTTAGTACATTTTGATGGTAAAATAATAGATAACATGTCTATTCCAGAAAGCGTATGCAGGCATTCATGTGTAATGAACAATAACCAACGTCTGGTTGGCAACAGAGGGCGCTACCTTGCGTTGAGACGACACGACTGTGGTACTCTATACAGTATCATAAATATAAATAAACTTAAATATGAAAAGTAGTTAAAAGTTGTTAAAATAAAAGATACAATTGATTAGTTAATATAAAAATATATATGGTATATAATATAATGGACAGTAGACCTACATTAACATAGAATCTTAAATACAGCATTGTTTAATCGGGTTGCAGAAGGGAGAAATGATTTGTTTTCCTTTAATGAGGGAATAATGCGACCTGATTTACTGAAGTTAATATATTTACTTAGAGGATGTGTGTGGTCATCTAACATACATTCAGATTTCCTGTTTATGATATCAAAATAGATATTTTGGAACATTCAAACCTATTACCTTGCTGGCGAATTTTGTGATTTTATATAATTTACCTGCATTTTTCTTTGTAGGCTATTGTAGTTATATTCCATTAAATAATGAATTTGCTTTGATAAAAAATATTAATATTTAGAATGTGAAATAAATATTATATATTTAAATGAAATTCAGAATCAAATTTTCAAATTCGGTTAAATTTACTATAATTGTTAAATATTCAAAAATCTGTATCTCGTAATCTGTTTCCAAATTTTTCGTCAAATTTTTTGTGTCTTGGGAAAATCAGTTGTATCAAATATCAAAAAGTTTTTTCTTAAACCTGGCTAAAAAATTATTACTTTTTAATGAATTTGATATTTCACAACAATTATAATACATTGATAATATTAGCAATAAATATGATTTTAATGTCCACAGGCTATTCAGTAAGTTCTTCTTCCAAAGAGGAGGTTGAAGCTACATTGTTGGAGCTAGATCAGGGAGTGGAAATTGCTCTGGAGAGGGCTAAAATATGGTCAAAATATTCCAAAGATCTTATCAACTATGTCGAGAAACGAATGCAGTATCGTAAGTCTAAAACATTCTTTTAATAAGAAAACCATTTTGAAATATTAATCACTATATTTATAATGTTAATGTTCTGCATGAGTAACTTCAGGACTAGTGTGTCTTGTATCTACTTATGAGAATGAAAAAAGTTGTTAAATATCAGATTAAAATTTGCTATGAAGCTCATTGGCCTGATTTCTTTATATGGGTCTGCTCTCAAGAACTAGATCTATAAGTCCAAATGTATGTAAAGCAGGGGTTTAGCCAGAAAAACAAAATAGGCCGTCCAAAATGGTAGCCAGTTGGCATGGCACTGAGCCGATAAGCAGGCCATGCCTATCTTTGGGAATCCCCACTGAATATTGGTACGAAAACAACGTACATTCAATCAATAAATGTTGTTTTTATCAAACTTAAATTTTATTTAGCTTTAGTTTAATGTAACATTTGATATGTTTGAAGAATATAAAGAATTTGCTAAAGGTAGACCAGGCCCAATTAAGGCCGAGCTGATCAGGCAAGCCGTCACAGTAAAAGTGGCCGTCCTAAGTAATTGTAGGCCAAAAGACGGCCGGACGGCTCGCTGGCTAAGCCTGTGATGTAAAGGACTATACATTGAACCCAGAATTAGGCTGTTGTGGGGTGAGCTTATACTGAGGAATTCCAGTTTTCTTTTTAAATAATACAGCTTTTTTAAACTAACAGCATGTCTTATATGTAGGGAAAGTCAGACCTTGATTATTTTTTCCTGAAATCTACTCAGTCAAATTATCCTGGGCTTTTACCCAGGAAAACCCTGGTAGGTAAAATTGGGTAAAAATAGGGGTGGACTTTACACCCAAGAAACTAACAGTTTTATAATCTAATGTTGTCTTGTAGAATATTTTGAGCTTTAATTACAACGTAATAATTTAGCTTACCAACTTTAAGCAAAACATTCTTGGTTTCTTCAGCAAACTACTGTTAAGTTGTACCAGTTGAAAGCTCAAAGTATTGTACATCAACATAGATGAATTATTATCATTGTCTCCTATAATGGCAAGAAAAATAATGTTATTCAATGATAATAAATTTAAAAATGCTATTAAAGTCTGGAAATATGACATATTTAGAGTAAGTTTTGACAGTGATTTATTTGGCTTTATGAGGAACTTACTTTATTATATTTTATAATGAAATGACTATTGTAGATGGATACTGTTGATTCCACCCTGCTTTGAATGAACACTCCCCTTCGAATAGACGCCTACTCTAAATCTTGGTTTAGAATAAACACCTCCCTTGAATAAAACCCCTCCCCCCCCCCAAGTGATTTTTAAACAAATCTAATGTCAGCAACCGTCATCATTCTTAACACATTCCATCAATGTTCTGCTCCGATAAAACCACATTTTTCCTAACCTGGCCGGGATCAATAAATGATCACGCAATAACACATTTAGATGGTAATTAGGTGTTGTAGTTCCACATTATTACGGTGAAATTAAGTTGCGTTTGTTTGGGTATTATATATGGATCCTTTTAACCAAAATAGATAATCGACGTAAAACAAAACACCAAACATTTCTACTAAAAGTCAATTCATTTCATTATAACCATTAATATAAAATTGAAAAAGGTAAAAATTACAACGAAGTATTGATTAGACAAATAAGAATATAAACATTAAGTATTAATAATTTATTTACAAGTTCATAATTTCATTATTTTAAAAATGAAGTATGAAAATAATTATATTATAAACTTACTTTATTATATTATAAAGTATATAATAAAGTTAGCAGTAAGTGATTTGAAAACAATGGGATAAGAATAAATCTTTTTTTTTTTCTCAGAAATGGAATTTGCAAAGAATTTAGCGAAGCTTTCCATGGCAACGAAGCCGATATTAAAACATGGCCAATTTCTGCCTTTACAATCAACTATCATTTGTAGCCTTGACCAAGTATGTGCTTAGTTGTTGTCTTGTTTAATATATGTTATTGTTTTCTTTTGTATAATGTTAATATTTCTCTTTTTTGTTGCATTTTAATTGTTATTGTTGTTTTTTTTAAGTTTTATTATTATTATTATCAGCACCATCGTTAATCATCATTAAATAATTATCATCACCATCACTATAATTATGTATCATCACCATCATCACCTTGTTTATCATACGTATTATCTTTATTTTCATCACCATATATATCTATCATCATTATCTTTTTTGTATGTTCAGTCACATCAAGCCCAAAATCAGAACCAACAGGTTCAGAAACTCATTCATCCCTTCAGTCATTAGGAATTTCAATCATACATTCAAACGGTAAATTGGTAAAAAGAAAATGTTTGTAAAGTATCCAAGTTACAACATTTAGCCATATTAATGTAAATCAGATTGGGTATATACATTTTAATGAAATTTAGAAAATACAAAAAAATAATTGATAAACTATTAAATATTTATTGTTAGGTTATTTGCGATTTTAATCGAGAACATAGTAATATAACATTTTAAGGAAAATATAAAAATTGAAAAACTTTTTAAATATTTGAAGTTGGAAAAATTATTGTACAAAAGAAGTTTGAAATATCATGAAAAGCAATTGGCAAAAATAGTAATTAAATTCTAAGAAAATCTAAAATTGGAAAACTTGTAAATTGGAAAAGCTGAAAACATCATTGTACATACGCAGTTGGAAATGTCATGAAATGCAATTATGTTTAATTTTTTATTTCCTTTACCACTACCACTTCCACTTTACCACTAAACTGTAGCTGTGATGGAAACTGTATCTCAAACATAATGTGAATGACAATAAAGTGTATCTGATAGTATAAAAGGTAGTATGTATAAGATAGTATAAAAGGAAAATAATTCGCACAAAATTTAAAACTTTACATGAAGAAGGAAATTGAAAATCAATCATCTGGCAAAGTATTCCAAAGAGAAGCCAAACAACGAACAAATGAATTTCAAAAGGGAGGGAATTGTGCATTTAATATATTCAAGAGCAATTGAATGACAAATCGAAGCTGTTGTTTCTGGAAAACTTCCTCATAGTAATGGTGAATTGAAATAAAACTGATACATGCAACATTGCCCCGTTGAGCCAAAAGATTCTAACCTACAAACAAGATGGATCATCGTCATCAACATCAACATCATCGCTATAGTAATTATAACACTTAGAAAAATATAAAAATTGAAAAACATTTTAAATATTTGAAGTTGGACAAATTATTGTACATAAGAAGTTTGAAATATCATGAAAAGCAATTGGCAAAAATAGTAATTAAATTCTAAGAAAATCTAAAATTGGAAAACTTGTAAATTGGAAAAGCTGAAAACATCATTGTACATACGCAGTTGGAAATGTCATGAAATGCAATTATGTTTAATTTTTTATTTCCTTTACCACTACCACTTCCACTTTACCACTAAACTGTAGCTGTCATGGAAACTGTATCTCAAACATAATGTGAATGACAATAAAGTGTATCTGATAGTATAAAAGGTAGTATGTATAAGATAGTATAAAAGGAAAATAATTGGCAAAAAATTTAAAACTTTACATGAAGAAGGAAATTGAAAATCAATCATCTGGCAGAGTATTCCAAAGAGAAGCCAAACAACGAACAAATAAATTTCAAAAGGGAGGGAATTCTGCATTTAATATATTCAAGAGCAATTGAATGACAAATCGAAGCTGTTGTTTCTGGAAAATTTCCTCATAGCAATGGGGAATTGAAAGAAAACTGATACATGCAACATTGCCCCGATGAGGCAAAAGATTCTAACCTACAAATAAGATGAATCATAGTCATCAACATCATCATCATCGCTATAGTAATTATAATGTTTAGGAAAATATAAAAATTGAAAAACTTTTTAAATATTTGAAGTTGGAAAAATTATTGTACATAAGAAGTTTGAAATATCATGAAAAGCAATTGGCAAATATATTAAATTCTAAGAAAATCTAAAATTGGAAAACTTGTAAATTGGAAAAGCTGAAAACATCATTGTACATACGCAGTTGGAAATGTCATGAAATGCAATTATGTTTATTTTTTAATTTCCTTTACCACTACCACTTCCACTTTACCACTAAAGTAGCTGTCTTGGAAACTGTATCTCAAACACAATGTGAAAGACAATAAAGTGTATCTGTATCTGTTCAAGGGGTTCTCAAGTTTGTGATTAAGATAGTATAAAAGGAAAATAATTGGCACAAAATTTAAAACTTTACACGAAGTTGGAAATTGAAAATCAATCATCTGGCAAAGTATTCCAAAGAGAAGCCAAATAACGAACAAATGAATTTGAAAATGAGGGAATTGTGCATTTATGATATTCAAGAGCAATTGAATGACAAATCGAAGCGGTTGTTTCTGGAAAATTTCCTCATAGCAATGGGGAATTGAAAGAAAACTGATACATGCAACATTGCCCCGTTGAGCCAAAAGATTCTAATCTACAAACAAGATAATCATAGTCATCAACATCATCATCACTATCTTCGTTATTATCGTCTTGAGTGTAATCATCAAAGCTGACTCCATAGAGCTATTATTATTAAGCATAATATTAAATACATCTGTAGTAAATTATTGCTGACAAAAAAGAACATTGCTGTCTTTAACCTCTTTATACCACTTACATAGCACTGTGAATATTTTGTTAAATGTTTCCTTATTTAGAAGATAAATTATTTGCATAAATACTATATGTCATTTCAGGATGTGGACTTTATGAATAATTGCGAAGCCACTTGCAACCACATTTTTGGACAAAAATTTGTTGAGGTTTGTTATATTTTATTAGATTTTTTTCTTTTTTGCTGTGGTAGTGGAATATTTCTGTAAAATGGAATGTGTTAATGTTCATTTCAGTTCATTTTATTTAAAAAGGCATGTAAAAAGCAAATGTAGTTTAGACAGACATCTCTTTATATTTATCCATAATTGGAAATTATCAGGGAGTTGGTAATTGGTCCTATGTTTTAACAGATGACCAATGACTGATAGCCTTGTCTGATAATGGACTATATTTACAGTAATTTTAAAATATTTTTTTTCTTATTCATAAATTCTCTATGATGTAAATGATCATACTTCAACTTTGTTTATTCATCAATAAAAAAAAAAAAACCAGGAAGGAAAAACATGAATAAATTATGAAATGATAAAAATTATAACCTAAAAAAGGAAAATCAAGACAAGCTTGTAAATCAAGATGTCCTTAATTAGAAATAAAAATATTATTATAATATTTAATATTATTATTAAAAAGGTAGTGAAAAAATAATAAATTATGAATCAATCTAATATATTTATATATTTTTGTTTTTTTAGCAACTAGAAAAAAGAAAAATTGAGCATGATAAAACCAGAAAAGAAGTCAGAATGAGGTGGCAGAAGATGAAGAAAGAAATGGTATTGTAGTTTATGTCAACTTAGTATGGTCAAAGATATTTGCAGGAATGAAAAAAGGGGTACCCTCTCTACCACCCCCCTCCCCACACACAGACACACTTGCAGGAGTAGCTAAATTATCTCTAGGCAAGCATTTAATTGTTAGATAAAGGATTGTGAGGAAGAAATAAAGATTCCTTGTTATGAGATTTCATAAAAACGGATCGTTGGCGTGATGCCCAATCTTCTCATTGTTCCAAAATTTCACACAACATATGGCCAAAGAACATGTACATCTACTGCTTCTTATCTTTGGAACCAACTACCTTCTTCTGTTAGGTCATTTAGAGTACCTCTATAATTACATTTAAATCTGCTCCTGAAACTCATCTTTTTAACAGCTTTCCTTTTTCACAATTGGTCATTCTTCTTGGAATTGGTGCATTACAAATTTATTATTATTATGCCAGACCTAGACACTCAACAATAATTAATGCTTGCGTGAAAGGTTGGAACAAGAGTTTTAAAGTGTTGTGCATCATGAGCATAATATAATAATATAATATAATATAATATAATTACCATACTTATTTAAGTAAATGCCCCACTTTGAATAAAGGCCCCCTCCCCCCCCCCCCTTCTAAAAGCTACCTATTGAGCTTCATTTGGAATAATCACCTTCCTTGAATAAATGCCCCAGAGAGTTTAAATTTTACTCAAATAAATTCCCCTTAAATGACTATAAACAAAACTAGTGTAAGCAACATCATTCTCAACATATTCTGCTAATGTTCTACTCCTGTAGAATTTGTTCTTAAACATGTTTCGGATCAATAAGTCTTTATGATCAAGCACTTTGATGGTAACTATGAGTCGTAGTACCACAATTACTATGAAATTAAGGAACGTTTATTTACTATATACAGTATGTATTTTTGAATTAGCGCCTCAATCAAATAAATGACCCTGAGTGTAAAATAGATACGGTATACTTTATTCTACATTTTTCGTTTTTGTTTTTTTTTCCTAGAATGATTGTAGATCGAATGTTGACAAATCGAAACAACAATATCATCATCGTCACTCAGAATATGAGAAGGCTAGGGAGTCAGCGCAGCGAGTTGAAGCCGAGTCATTAAATACAAGTGGTGGGGTCACAAGTTCAAAGGTCGAGAAGAGGAAGAAATCTGAAGAAGAAGCACAACTCAGAATGAAGGAGGCTGAAACGACGCATAAAGGCTGTATTGCAGAAGCAAAACGAAAACAACAAGACATGTCCAACTTAAAGGTATGGTATAATGGTATACTATGAATCGGTCATTTCAAGCGATTATTATTTGATGAAGGTGTATCTGTCAAAGTTTGTGTATTATGAAGGTTCTTGCCAAACCTTGTATGATATGAAGGATGGATTTTCAAATCATCTGATATGGGTTTTACATACTGTATATGGGGTGGTCACATCCATCTTTAACTGTATCAAAGATTTGATCGGGTCTGGTCTGTAGCTTTGGAACTAGCACACCCCTCTGAGCTCTACTGAACTGATGTCACCTGTATCTTGAAGAGAAGCTGGTAGTGACACTGTTCGTAGTAGTGGTTGTAATAATGATAGCGTTGGGTATTGATGGGGATAAAAATAAAATGATTTAATAATGATAATAACTGTGGTTGTAGTTGATGATGATGTTAAGAATTATGGTGGGATTCATAATGATACAGCTTGCTCTTCAATTCAAAACCATGTTTGCGACTAGAAAATGTTAAGTGCACTTTAAGCCAGGCACTCAATGTGTTTTACGTTGGTCGTAGAACCGTCGGTCGCACAACGAATCCAACTCCATTCCTTGTAAGCGCTAGACGACGCGACACTGGTAATATGTACCGCGCACGTCATCGCATTGCGTTCTTCATAGAATCGTGTCAGCCGAGTACCGTAAAGGCCAACTCAGACAGCATCGAAAGACGCAGCCCGACGCGATTTGTTGTTGCGTCGCGTCTGTGTGAGTTAAACGCAGACGCGATGGTGTGCGCCGGGGGCAGTCGCGTCGTAGAATATTAAACACGTATAATATTTCTCACGACGGCTAAAGACTGTCCCTGACGATAAATCGGGGTCGGGCTGCGTCGGCCGATGCTGTCTGAGTTGGCCTTTAGAGTGTAGTGAGTGCTTGGCATTGGCATCAGTCGCCAATTATGGCGACTGAAGCCTAATGGTTAGCTTTTTGATAAAATATTATTATTTGTCTTAAATTCAAAAGAGTCTCAGAGTTACAGGTGTCTCGAATTGGAGGGCAAACTGTAGGCCTATAAATGGTGGTAGTAGGAGCAGTAGTAGTAGTGGTGGCGGCAGCGATGATGGTGCTGATGGTGATAATGAGGATGAGGATGGTTAAGGTTATACTGGTGGTGATAATACTGATGATGATATTGATAATGATGGTGGGAATGACGATCAATGATCATAATCATCATCATAATGTTGACGGTAACAATGATACATTTATTTGTACAGTTCTATAATGTTTGTTTGCCATCCCAATTCATTCTGAGAATGGTCTCTAGTTGTATGCTATAACTAATATATACAAATTAACATTGTGAATGTTTTTGTTTGATTTTAAAACTACAGAAAGGATTAATTACTGAATTAAGGGAATCATTGGACCACTGTGATCAAACAATGAAAGCTGTAAGTGTGTTTATATCATTTTAATTTTTTTAATTTGCCCGAGTACCTAAATACATAATGTAATGAAGCTTTTTTTGATGTGTGTTTGCATCAGTAAAATATCCTAGGAGTGATGTTTTACCCTATCTGACGTGTTATCCTACTGAATACTCCGTACATTCCCAAATATTTTCCGCAAGTATTTGGTAACATACTGAGTGTTCAGTGTGGAAACACGTTTGGTAGAGCAAAACATCACCCCAGTGATATTTTACTTATGCAGAAACATCAAAATAGCATTGACGTACCCGTAGCTATCGGATACAACACTAGCCACTAAGCGCAAGCTCGATGGACTAGTGGTTGTGACACCAGGCTTGTTTCTGGAGGTTGTAGGTTCGATTCTCACTGGAAACACTTCCATCCGGTGATTTGACCCAAAAAGGCTGATCTCAGATTAAAGGTAGGGTAAAACATCACTCCTATGTAAATTGCTGTTCCACAACTAACTGTTAAAATGATACTTATCTTTTCTTCGTAATTATATCTTTTCCATAGGTAACTAATAATTACTTCCAGCTGCAGTATATGCTCTCTGCAACATCACCGGGACAGGTAAAGTTTTCCTTACTTGCAGTGTAAAATCTTGTTCGGGCTACCAAGCATGTGACATACCTAAAGATGGCCATGATGACATCACATCATGACCATATATAGGCACATCATGACCATATATAGGCACATCATGACTATATTTGGGCATACAACAGTGTTTTGTCAAAGAAAATTTGATAATCTCTACTCTGCACAGACTACTAAATTTTATTTGACAAAAACTTGTGAGATGCCAAAATATGGTCGTGATGACATCACATCATATATAGGCACATCATCACTATATGTTTGCATACAACAGTTTTGTCCAAAGAAAATTTGATTTGCTTTAATCACATGACTTAACAGATAAAAAAAAATTTAATAATTATTAAATAATAATTAATTTCGAGTAAAGTTAAAAAATTAATTCTGATTTTTTTTTTCTTATAGTTTAATAGTTTGTGTGAATCTGTGAAATCTTATGAACCTGGTTCTAAGTTTAGTGAGTTCGTTCGCCAGTATAAGGAACCCTCATCAACAACCAGTACACCAGCAGAACTTAGGGATAATTTTGTATTTGAACCTTACATTAAAAGGTACGTGTCAAGACCAAAGTTCTTATGATAACAAGGCAGCGTTCTTCGCCATTCTACGTGTAACAAATAGAAGCGCCTATTTTCAGTAAAAAGAAGCGTAAGAAGTACTTGTAATTGAGAGGGCATATTCTAGTTTTTACTATGGTGGTTGTTCCAGAATTTGCGCGTAGATCATAGATGTCGGAGTTCAAAAAGTAACTGTAATTGCAGGAGGGCGTCCTACACAGCGTTGTTACAGAATTTGCGGAGAACGCTATCTTGTTATAAGATTTTTGGTCAAGATGTAGGTGAGGTTATTTACTTGTTCCTGCTAGATTAACTTTTTTTTTTTTAATTCACATCCAACAAAAATAACTGGCCAATTAACAGGATGGGCGATGCTATATGAACCCATGTCTCTCTTTGAGGCATAGGAAAAAGTTGTTTATAGTCGTCAGAAAATTCTTGCTGTCGCAGGTATTGAACCCAGACCCAGGGTTTTAAATGCAAGCATCTTAACCACTCACCTATACAGGTGGGAGGTGGGGGGGGGGGTGATGTCGTTAAACTGCTCGTTGGTGACCCTGCTACAACTGTTCCAGTCAACCGATAACAGCAACTAGAATTCATTATACGAAACTGTCCGCTATTAGGAAGTCACGTGACTATATACCATGCATTCGGTACAATTCATAATAATGATGATAATAATCTTTGTTATTGTCCTCATTCAAAAATTGTTCTGTTCAAATTCTGCATATAGGCCTATATTGTCGCTGCCTAGTAACATATTCAGTTTTGTATTTAAATCACTACTAATAAAATAGTTCCAAATATCTTGGTGGTTTGTTGTATACTATTAATTTTTAAGCTTCTTTAATACATTAACTCTTATATTGGTAATTACAGTGCTTCTAAAAGTGAATAAAAAATGGTTTAAATCTTTGATTTCTGATTTGCAAAAAAGGCATATCTCGTCCATGTCATCGCTCCACTTAGATACTCTGCCCGTAACTAATAACATTTAATGGAAATATACAAATACAAACATTATTCTCAACCCGCCTCTCTCAGTTCTAACAAGAATATGCATATCTCAGCTCCAACACTATTGCTAAAAATAAATAAATTATAAATAATACATTTTTGTCATTTTTATTTCTTTCAGTAACAAACCGAATACACGCAAATTCAGCAGTCAGTCAAACGAATGGGATAGTAGGCAAGCTTTTTATCAAAAAGGTGCGTGCTCAATTTTGTTTAGTGGCAGTTTGGCGCAGTAGTTTAGGTTTGGACTTTCAATCGTAAGGTCGGGGTTTCGAGTCTCCGCTGTTCAGATTCGCTTGTGTCCTTGGGCAAGGCACTTTAGCTACATTGTTTCAGTCCACCCAGCTGTATCAATGGGTACCAGCAAACTGCTGGGGACTAACCTGCAATGGACTAGTGTCCCATCCGGGGGGAGTACAACTCTCATCCGCTTCACACTACAGAAACTGGGGATAAGCTCCAGCCCATTGAGCCCCTAGTGGCTCTGAAAGGATTTAGTTTTTAGTTTTTAGTCAATTTTGTTACTATAAATGAAACAGTGCTCACCATAAGCTGGTGGGCATCTCATGTTATTTCCAAATGTAATTTAGTATAGAAGTAAGGAATACATAACATACTCTGTGTTGTTCATGAAATGTAATTGAAGATGCATCCCCTGAAAATGACAAAAAAGAATCGTAAAAAATAATTTGGAAATTAACAGTACCATACAAGTTATTAACTTGAGCATAGAAATTATTGAAATTAATTTTATGCTGGATAATGATAATACAAATAATAAAACACTGGACTAGAAGTGTTTTTTTTTTTCATTTTTCGCTTCAAAATTCCAGGTAAACGTTTTTCAATACACTAATTTCCATGTTCAAATTAGTAATTTTTATGTTACTTCAAAATTGTTATGATTTCTTTTTTGTATTTTGCATGGGACAATACATCTTTCTTTAAAGGTGTAATTGTTTCTTAATTGCAGTAAAGAGAAATATATGTTTTAAATTTTCAATAATTACAATAATCAATTTGATTGCTGATTTTGTATAGCTGAAGCATGGGCACCCTCTGTGTTTGGTGATGACCGAAACAGCACGAGTGGTAGTTCGAACCATGAAAGTTCGCCATCCGCCAGTCCAAGAAACTCCCGCCCACATAGCAAGAACGTGATTTCCGTTGGTGCAATATCGTCTGGTGAAGAGGATGCCGACACAGAAGAGGTTTCTGATGTTACTGAGAACAGTGAGTTAAATTACAAAAATAAAGTGTTAGCAACCTAAATATATGTCTACAATATTAAGTTTTCAATTCACGTTGTTGCTTTAGTCATCACTGAACTCACAATGTTATTTTCCTATCCCAAATTGTACACTAATTTATCATTAGTGCATGGTTCGCTGGATCTTCTTTCCGTTCATGTGCAATAACCCAATTCAACTTGTATGTATTGCCATATCGCGCACCGTGATGAAGTCTAGGCTAGTGTTTTTAGGAAAAATTCTATCTGGCCTTGCAGGCCCTCTGGGAATTTTTCATGCATTAATCTAAACCTTTGTATAGTAATTTTCACTAGTGTATGATAGCAACTGTAATTTGTTATTACAATATAATCCAATACAAATTACACTAGATTACAATCCTGCAACAAGATAGATATGAATACTGTAAAAGATGAGTTAATTTTGGCTTACATGTTAAGAACTTGCTTTATAATGGAAGTGGGGGATTGTGGAAGGGTCGACAGAAAGTGAGTATGCAAGGGTAAAGGAATATGGAAGAAATGATGTTTCATAGCGTGAGGTGCAACAAGGGTAAGGGAGGAGGGCGTTATTGCAGGAGTTGTGAAGAGAAATATTGCATTGGCGACAGGAAGGGAGGTAGGAGTGAAAGGGATTGTTTTCATTCTAGGCTATCTTTCCAAGGGTGTAGATGTTTGTCAGGTTTCAAAAGTGGGAATATTCAACTGAATAAAGTAATGGTATGAGTACAATGTGATTGGTAGGGTATTCAATCCATTAAATTAATTTCACACTTTGGTAGTAAATGCAACATGCATATTCCATGGCAGGGAGAATAGGAGACTTGATGGGTATGACAAGAGGGATTTGCGCATGTATGAGTGTGATATGACATCACATGCCCATATATGGCTGTGACATAACATCTTCATGCCCATGTACGGTTGTGATGTGACATCATTATACCCATATATGGGATGTACTATAACATCAACATGTCCATATCACAGATATTTATCAAATGCTTATAGTATGTAGAAACATAGTTTTGTGAGATAACAAAATGATCCATTTCTGCATGTGTCACACCATGCAGATCCTTGGACCCCAGGTTCCATCAGTGCTATAGTATAAGCTTTCATACAATAAGGCATTTACTGGAATTAATTAAATATTCCCAATTTATTAGGTAAAAAGCTATTAAAATACTTTAAATTACTTGTTTAACATATAAGGCTTGCCATTCCAAAACCAGCATACATTCGCTATATGTAAAACTAAGTAATAAGCATAAGAATGTGATAGTACTGTACACTTTAGTACAGAGAAGCTGTAATTTGTTATTCATAACTTTGTCAGTAGTAAGTCAATTCTCGTAAATGACCTATCATTTTAAAGCTTAAAATATGGCCCATATTGCAACAGCGTGCTGGTTCTGGGATCTTATGCTTCACAAGGTTATATGTGCTATAGCAAACATAAGTTGTTGTTAATGCAGTTGTTGTTATAACTCATCATTATATTTGATAAAATTTTGTTTGCAATAAATACAAATTTTTTATCAATTTTCAGGGATGCCATATATGCTGCCCTCAGCATTCAAGAATGTGATCCTCTCCAAGGCAGCAGTAACACATACGATACGCAAACTCCTTGGTCCTTCCAAGTGTCGTGAATGTGAGGGTTATCTGTACTTTAACGGTGCTGAATGCGCCGATTGCGGGCTGGCCTGTCATCGGAAGTGTTTAGAGACGTTAGCTATTCAGTGCGGTAAGAAGAGGATGCCAGGAAAAATGAATGTGTTTGGTGTTCCGTTACTGGAGCATCTGAGATTAACCAATCGGAAAGTTCCATTCATCCTCGTTAAATGCATTTCTGTTTTGGAAGAAAAATACATAAATATCAAGGTATGGATTTATATGTTAATTTTTTTTTTCTTTATCTTCCACTCGTTACAAAGTCAACAAATTCCTTACATGAGGCAGCAGTGCACAATAGTAAAACTGCATGCCAGTCCTACAGGGAGCTACCGGAGCCCAGTATACTGAGATGCTGCGGTACCTGGTAGTAATGGGAACACTATCTCAACATTAGGGGTCAGCACCTTCGTCAGTGGCGTATATAGGAGACTTGTAATGTGGAGGAGGCTGATGGGGCGTGAATGTGAAGTAGGGACTTAATGATTAAGTGAGGAACCGCTCGTTTGCAAAATAAGGTGATTTTCATCTACTTGAATGTGATTTTTTTTTTTGCTCCAAATATTTTCCATTGGCAAAACTGGGTGCCGTAGGTTTTTTTATGGGGAGTGCGCACCCCTTAAATAGGCCACTGTCCTGACCTTCTAATTCATGTTCACAATTATTCCACCGATAATTATTTCTATATTTAGTGGTTTACTTTTGACTTGAAATAGCAAATTTTTATCATAAATGAAGTATTTATTGATAGATTTGTGATATTGGTAAGTTGATGTTGTCACAATTAAAAATGGTTTTGCTTTTATTTGTGGCTTCATCTAATTATTTAATTTTCTTTTTAACTTAGGGTATCTATAGGTGTCCTGGGCTCAAAATCAAGGTGGAGAAGTTGTGTCAGACATTTGAGAATGGCGGCGATCTGGTGGATTTATCCGAGACGTTACCGCATCTCATCACCAATGTTATTAAACTTTACCTTAGACAGGTATGTATTACACACTTCTTGAAAGTCAGTACCTTCGTAGGTCCTCGAACTTTACAATGCTCATCCATCGATCCAGATACTTTCATTTGCTTCTGTGTGCATTAGAGCAATTTAGATACGTTGATTATAAACACAGGCAGCTCTACTATAAATCGTACGCCATCCACCACCATCAGTTTTCAGTATAAACCACTTGAAATTAATACATGCACTGAGGTAAGCTCAACTATACAGCAAATACATTGTATATCCAGTACGTTTTACCTTCAGAGTTAGGTGTGTGATGTCAAAGTTTTACACAAATCTTACTTTCGCATTAGGTGAAATGAGACGATATGCCTGCTACAATAGACACTGCCTGCATTGTTTTCAAGTACGATTATTTATGGTCGTACCTGAATGTATACTTGTTCCCTTAGCATCTTTCGTCACTGGTCATGCAGCAAGTGTAAACGCATTGATATTCCAGTGTTTGTTGTAAAGTCAGCCCATACAGTAACTTCCTCTTGTAAGCTACATCCCTCCATAAGGAGTATTGTTCCAACTTGAGAGCAAATAAATATTTGTAGGAAACTATTAGTTATGAGCATGAAAATCGTTGTAAAAATATATGGAAAATGAATTTATAGAATGGAAAATTAAAAGCTATTTTGTCATCTATGCTGCAATTTTTTTGGTTTTTCTGCACTCCACGTGTCTGCCTTCGTTGCAGTTCAGTTTCTTACTGTATCTATTAGACAGTGTATCAGCCCCCCCCCCCATTGAACAGAGCTCGTCGGGCAGTCGGACTAAATATAAAAATAGGCCCACGCCAAGCCAACACATGCCTGTCACAGTCTGAGAACGTCATTTCTGGTAATCCAGAGGTTGTTCTCCTTAAAAAAATCTCATTTGGGAGGGGGAACACTCTCTAAAACCTTTCCTCCAGCTTAGGCCTACAAGCTCAAGTTCCCCCTTTCAGACAGCTCAGTCCCCCTTCCCCAGAATATGTATATCTAACTAGGACAAAATGAATAAAAAGAAAAGTTTATTTTATTACTAATCAGTATGTTGTTTTCTACAGCTTCCAGAGCCATTACTGACAATCAAACTCTACCCACAATTCATCATGTTAGCTAGAGAGAGTCGAGAAAACAAGTTAGAGTTAGACGATCCAAAGACTGTAGAAAAGTTACAAGAAATCGTCCAGCAACTTCCGCCCGCGAATTATTTATCTGCAAAGCTCCTGATCACGCATTTGAACAAGTAATGATCCACTTTTCATACCAACTTTAAGAGAAGATTAGGAGTAACCAAAAATATAACTAACTGCTTGAGCATGAATTTTTTTTTCTGGCTTCAAACATTTTTAATGGGGGTGACAACTAGGAGAACGAGTATTTTTTGAGGGACGTGTGCACCTTGCGCACCCCCTAGATACACCACTGCTAATTTCTGCTAACTGCTTTTTCAGTTAATATTTATACGAATATTTTATATTAAAAATACCTATTCATGTTTTTTTTAATTATTCACATCTTGTTGAACGTTGACTTGGGACTAAATCTCATTTACAAGAAAGTTAACATTGATTAAGTGATTCTATTACATTTCCAGTATGTAATCATTTTTATTTTGTTTTATTTCAGAGTAACTCAACATGAAAAACGCAATGGAATGACAGCTAGTAATCTTGGGATTGTTTTTGGACCCAATTTACTTAAAGAGTAAGTTAAAAATACATTCTTCAAAGATATTCAAGTTCAAGTTTCTCTTTATTGTCATGTAAAAGTTTTACAGAAACTTCTTTTTCCAAGGTTCAACAAATACATACAACATACAACTTAAATACATTGTAAGATGTAGTAAAATGGTGTTAAAATACAGGATATAATTAGTTAGTATAAAAATGTATAATAAAGCATACAGTACATTTGAATCTATGCACTGGTTGATTGCATCTATATCTTATGGCTTGCATTGTTTAGTTGGATTGCAGAAGGGATAATTGAGTTGTTGTGACGAGAAGTTTTATTTTTAATTATTAGGGGTATATGTATAGAGTATTGCCTGTTTTAATCTAGAATAAACCTCAAATATTAAATTTAAAGAATATTATAAAGAAAATAATGTACCAAAATTTGTGATTATAAACACATCAAAACTTACTTGTTATTCAGATATATTTCGTTCACAACTCTGACAACCTCATCCTGGTTGTAACAGGTTGTTGCTGTAACCTTTGGACTGTAGATAACATTTAAATTTTTAAAGAAAAGTTGAATTGTCTCCCAAACAATTTTTAGAATCTATCGGTTTGGTATGTTGCAATGGTAGTATAATCTATTTATTGAGAAATTGGATGTTAAAATGAGTGTCCACATGATATATAACATTAAGGGAATTTGGTAAATATGAACGAAAATATCTCCAATAATTATCACAGAAATTATTTCAGAGCAATGCTTAGCAATAGACAAAGTTTTTGGTGCAACACATATTCACACTGACATAGACATTATACCTTAATTATACTTAAATGTTGTTTTTTTTAAACATTAAGATATTGGGTGTTGACTGATGTGTCCACTGAAGTTCGGTGTCAACTGAAATTTGGTGTCAGCTGGTAGTGGTCCTAGTTACTAAGTGTCAGTTTTCTAATTGCAATTTCTTGTTCACACCAGTGTCTTTATCATTTTATTTGCAGTGCTGTAAACGATTCATTATCAGCTTTGGTAGAAATGCCTAACAACAACAGAGCGATCGAGCTTCTCATATACAACTCAAAGGTATGAGGGCGCTATTTATCAGCTTAACTATAATCAGTAACTTTAATAATGACTTATGCTCACTAAATGATCTGTCTGCTTAAGTTAGAACTTTTGGAAAAATGAATGTTGATTTAAAATAATGTTTCTGTTATTGACTTAGTCAAATCAGTGCTTCTTATAATAAGTATTTCATAAAAATAATACCGTACTGTACACACTATTTATTTTTTTTTCATATGAAAGTGGTGTACCTTGATCACTTTAGGCATGCATTACTTGTGCCCTTACCAAACACTTATGTACCACGTGAACTTTTGGCATTTCTTGTCCCCTATGAATCATACCAAGTTCTGTACCATGGTCACTCCAGCAGTACTTATGCCCTATAGGCACAACTTTCTCGGGATACCGTAATCACACCAAGTGCATCTTTTGGTGTCGTACAATTACACATGGCTGTGTGTTCATAATCTTTGAGCCCCTCTGTGGAAGCAAGTCCTGTGTTAGAATTTAGATGGTTATTCCAGATATGGAACTTTTGAGTCTGCTCTTTTAGTTTTGTATTTGTTGTTTTTCATTTGTTTATGATCGCGAATAAATCAAATCAAATCATTTTACGTAGTAGTTGAGCCCCTATCAATATATATATATATATATATATATATATATATACAAAGAAAACAGGAAACTGAGTAGACTTTAAGAAAACTATTTTATTTAAACATGAATATTTCGACCTGACCTCAGGTCCTCTTCAGCATGACTGATGACTGATTAACATTATGATTACACGTGGACTCCCCTTCATGTTTTCTATATATATATATATATATATGTATATATATATATATGTATACTATATACATTAAGTGATTTTTATGATATTTCATAGATCTTTGGGGATAGATCGGTGGAAGAAAATACCATACCGTCAAATGGCTCTGCAAGTCCTAGGATTACAGTGGGTAAGTTTATTCTCTGATATAATATATATATATATATATATATATATATTTTTTTTAACTAGTCATTTTTCGCTGATAATATGTGTAGGTACTCCATCTGTTCCTTAAAGAGTGTTGGATAGGAGAATAATGTATATCATTGTGCTAAATTGGATGTGGACGTGGTCCGTGACTACTCTAGCAGCCGTAGAGAGGCGCTTAGTTCACATCATTCCATAACGACAGGGGCTAAAATGTACCATACCATCAGGGTAACACCCTACTCTTCCAAAAAATGCTATAGGTTCCTTAAAGTGCACACGAGCCAGATGTATACACTAGACCTCCCGCATTAATATTGTTGTACACCAGGACTCGCGTTCATTTCTTATGCAATTTCGTAATTTAATTGTCTTACATAGCTTCATTAAATCAATCAGCCAACAACTCCAAGAAACCAAAATTTTATACCCATATAAAACAAGCCGAAGAATCCGATGGCGATGATGCGAGTTCAGAGAGTGAGGATAGATCCGGTTATCTTGGATGTAAGTACTGTATTTACTGTTGCATTAGCTTTTTACAGTTCGCCCTGCAATTCGAGACCACCCTTTGGACCTGAAAATTTGAAGTGGTCTTGTGGTTGGTCTCTAATTAGAGGGCTAGCTTTGTGTTAAAAGGTTAAAGATTTTTATTTGGGTCTTTGGAAAAGTGGTCTCAAATTAGAGGGGTCTCGATTTGGAGGGTGCACTGTATTTATGTATACATATTCCATTTATATTATTATTATTATCATTATTATTATTGTTGCTGCTGCTGCTGCTGCAGTTGCTGCTGCTACTGTTGCTGTTGCTGGTATTACTGCTGTTGTTGCTGCTGTTCCAGTTGCTGCTACTGCTGATGTTGTTGCTGCTGTTGATGATGCTACTACTGCTGTTGCTGCTGTTGATGCTACTATGACTGTTGCTGCTGCTGTTGATGCTACTACTGCTGTTGCTGCTGCTGTTGATGATGTTACTACTGCTGTTGCTGCTGCTGTTGATGCTACTACTGCTGTTGCTGCTGCTGTTGATGCTACTACTGCTGTTGCTGCTGCTGTTGATGATGTTACTACTGCTGTTGCTGCTGTTGATGCTACTACTGCTGTTGCTACTGCTGTTAATGATGCTATTACTGCTGTTGCTGCTGCTGTTGATGCTACTATTACTGTTGTTGTTGTTGTTGTTGTTGCTGTTGATGATGCTACTACTGCTGTTGCTGTTGATGATGCTACTACTGCTGTTGCTGCTGCTATTCATGCTACTACTGCTGTTACTGCTGTTGTTGATGCTACTGCTGCTGTTGATGCTACTACTGCTGTTGATGCTACTACTGCTGTTGCTGCTGCTGTTGATGCTACTACTGCTGTTGCTGCTGCTGTTGCTGCTGCTGATGCTGCTGTTGATGCTACTACTGCTGTTGCTACTGCTGTTGCTGCTGCTGTTGATGCTACTACTGCTGTTGCTGCTGCTGTTGATGCTACTACTGCTGTTGCTGCTGCTGTTGATGCTACTACTGCTGTTTCTGCTGCTGTTGATGCTACTATTGCTGTTGCTACTGCTGTTAATGAATCTACTACTGCTTTTGTTGCTGCTGCTGTTATTTATTATTGTTATGAATTTATTATTTCAAAATGTATTAAACCTATTCTAGTATGTGTTTATCATATAAAATCCTCCTTAATTTTAGACTACAAGGAAATGATTTCTCCATCTATCTGAAAATGTATTAGCTTTTCATCTGGTGAAGATTGGTCTAAGTTCCATGAAGTGACAATTTATTTTTCCCGAAACAACTCCAATCCCTCAGCCTGAGATATAATTCATGTAGAGCAGTGTCCGTATATATTTGTTTTTGTTATGAAAATAATGTGTACAAATTACATGTTAAGTTATAATTATTATTTATCAAAGAATTATTATTTCCAGTGTTTAATAAACCATTCTGCTTCATGTGTAAACACATTTGTCTTTTTTTTTTCTATGCAGCTGGTGTTTGGGTTGGTGAAACCAGTGCAAATGGGGAACATGACCTCCAAGTACCGACTCCTCCTCCACGTCGAGCAGTTTCACCTAAAAGTCGGCTTAAAAAGCCACAAAGATCCACCTCGCCGGGCAGTGTAGTATTCCGAACTAGAGGTGACAACAAAGTTGCTGGAAATAGGATTTCAGCTCCATTGCCAGAAAGTGTACTTTGCCACAAAGAAGTTGAAAGGTCAATGAGTGCTCCTGTAGAGGAAGCTTCCGCACACCCTGAGGAAGGGTTACCGGGGATGGTCAATTTGCCTACTTCTCCAAGTGAGGTGATGGGATTAAAGCCAAGTCCAGGAAGCAAGCGTCGGGAACCAAGATTCGTTTGATATCTATATTGTTAATTTTGATGTAGTTTGCATTAGCAAACATCATACGAGTGATGTTTTTCCGTACCTGATGTGTTATCGTACAGAATACTCAGTACGTTCCCAAATATTTGTGAAAAATATCTCGCAAGTAATTAGGGGGAGAATCGAAGCCCACGACCTGCAGTATAACTAGTCTAAAGTAAAGTGATACTAGAATATCGAGCTTAAACTTAAGTGGCTTGTGCTGAATCTTATCCCCAAGTACAGTGGTACTGCAGTAGTTCAGACAACAGGCTAGTTATCTGGATGTCATGGGTTCGATTCCCACCTAAATCACTTGCAAGATTTTTTTTCGCAAATACAGTATTTTCCCAAATACGTACACAGTATTCAGTACGGTATCACGTCATGTAAGGCAGAACATCACTCCTATATTTAAAAAGTATTTGTACAAGCCATTGATCCAGTATGTAGTAACTAGGTTTGTAACATTGGGTGGGTGTTATTCATTCATTTGAAGCAGGGAGGTTTCATAAGGTAGTGAATGGAATCAACATTACTGCCCAAGACAAGTGCCTTCTGAGATTAATAATGTGATTGGAGTTTTTTCTCTTGTAACTCTAAACATAAGAAAAAACTATTTATATATAACACGGCTAAGTAAAGTCTTATGAGACCCAAATGGAACATATTCAATCCTATTTCTTTTCGCTCTTCATCCGTGGTTAATGAATTCACTAAATTACCAAATAAATCTATTTTCCTATAGTTTTACATAAGTGCTACAAATACTGTGATAGCGATTGTAAATATAAATTATAAAAAAGTGTTCAGTATTTGATAAATCTTTAATGTAAGAACAGTATATGTCAGTATACGATATATTTGTAAGTGAAAACAAGTTTTTAGAAAATTTATTACTGCAAATGGTTTCTAAAAATAGAAATCATTTTTTACTCATAGTAAATTATAATGCTAAATTTAATTTATCAATACTGAATATGCAATACCATATGAAAATAAGTTTTTAAACAGGAACGGTGAAGGCAGTATTCCGATATATATTACAAAACGACAGTAACTCTGGAAACGGGTACTTTTTGGGAATTCAACTTTTTGATCTATATGATCATTTTCGAGAATGCTGATGAAAAAATGTCATGTTTATTTACAAAATGAAGTACAACAGAACTTTGTTGAAAATTTCAACCAATAAGGTAAAAGCAACATTACAGTTGCCCAATCAAAATGACCGAATGGACATTTCCGAAATGTCAATCAAACTAAACTAGTGACTAATTGGAACAGTGCGAGGAATATGCACACACTCATATGTGCCTCACATACGTGGATTACTTATTCTTGTTAGTAACCAAAAAGTTTGATAAACAACTTCCCATATTTAATGTTGCTTTTACCTGCTTTCCCCCCCCCCCCCAAAAAAAATAAATAAATAAAATTTTAAAAAAACACAAAACACAGACAGTTGGGCTATTATTTATTTTCTAAAACTTAATGTAGGCCTATGCTTAATATATCTATATAATCCATAATAGATTGTATCTCGTGCTACAAATGAATAGTGACCAAAATTTAACAACAATTTAAGTCCCATATAGAAAGTATCAAACAAACCTATATCATGCAGTAGACACACTCGCGCAGATATTGTATTTTTAATTACTTTCTTAGTACGTCTGTAAATCTTGTAAATATGGATGAGTGTGTTTTTCTCATCAGAAAATGATTAAATAGATCAAAAACTTGTAATTCTCAAAATGTCTCTGTTAGGAGTTACTTTTCCTTTTATTTATACCATTATTGTCTTGGTAAAGTAACTGAATGGTCATAGACTATTGGGTTTTAAGCTTCCAATGGAGAAAATATACAGTAACTTAGTAACTTAAATTTATTCCAAATTTATAGTTTGTAGGGTTTTAGCAAGACTGGCTTAAAGAAAGCTGTCCAATACTAGATTCATAGTACTTATAGAAACAGCTTTCCAACCGTATTTTAAAATTATAACAAATATATGCAGAATCTTTGCTGTCTTTGCTTTGTTAGAGTTTACTGAAAACATCATTCCAAATTATGAAATACTTGTTGAAAGTATTTTATTATCAGTTGTCTTACCATATTGGTGCCATAATCTTAACTACTAAAACATCGACAATTTTCGGGGGTTTTTTAAAATTATTTTTACAAATTTATGTATTTCATTTTGTTTTTTTCACTTTTTATATGTGATTGTAAATCATTTTCATAAAGCTTTGTAATTGTTTTTAATAAGAAAACTTTTATTTATCATTTCTTTATACTTGTTAAACAGTATGTAAAAATAATATAGCATGATAAATCAAAATAAATACAAAGGACTATGTATAAACTAAAAAAATAACACTTTACTTTTTTTTTATTCATTAAACATAAATATATAGATTAATAGATATTAGTAT